TGTATGGATTCCACCTAAATGTATCTGCGAATTCCAGGGATGGTTCCTGCTTTTTCCATGCAGGATAGTCCAAGCTAACAGCATTTGGAGTGTCCCTTCCCATGTATGCATGAGTTTTGTTGGTAGAAATGCCCCTCAGCCATTACCCAGCCCCATGAGTTTTACAGCAGGGCAGACACTTTATGGAGTGGCGTAGCCTGCTCACCCTGTTGACTTTCTAGTAGCAATAGATTTTTTTTTTTTCTTTGCTTGAGACGCCTATGAGCTTATTTACAGAGTCAATTAACAAAAGATAACCTCCCATTGTGCAATCATCAATAAATCAATTGTGTTAATACTATCTTGGAATGTCCTCCACTATTTACTTTAATATTGTTGACTGTCGGCACTTAAGAAAGGCAGCACCTTCAAGTTTCGCTTGATTATGGGCAAATGGATTTTGTAGTAGCCATTAATAAATATAAATTGTTTTGGAAAATATTTAAGTTTGTCAAATTTAACCCCTTCCTGAGCATTAACAACTACGCCTTGTTGAACGTGTTTGACAACTACTTCAAGAGAGTCAGTCTCAATCTCTAGGACCATCCTCCTGCCCCTGTGTATTTTGGTGGCTTACCATTCTTACAGCTCCTTCTGACTGTGAATTGTAATTATTGATATAAACATATAAGTTAAGACTTAATTAAACCATCCAGCTCAGTGCTTTTCTGTCATTAGGCAGATTCCCACTCCAGGTAGTTTACTTATCCATAGGTGATGTGTTGCTGCATTTACTCACAGTGAGTAGCACTTTACTCCATGAGCAGTGCCACTGCTTTATCTCCACGAGGATGGACGATGCCACATCCATTAATGTTCATCAGCACAGAAGGGTCCTTTAGTCACATTGAATTGTGCCTGCTTCCACAGCAGGATGATTTATATCTACAGGGCTGCTCAGCATGACCAAGGACAGTGGAATGTTTCCATAAATAGAAAATATATAGGCACAGGAATGGGGCAGGGTCATGTTAAGGAAATCCGATGCCCTCTGCTCATTCTGAAAGGACCTCCACCCAAACCTGCAACAAAAATGGTTTTTTTTGGGGCAGAATACAAAGAGTGGCAAAGGGGTAGTTTAGGTTTTGTTGCAGGCTGTTTGCAATCTCAGGCAGAGAAAAAACATGGGTTTTGGTGGGCACGTATTTCAGGTTTTTCTTTGCACCCCTAACATACTAAGGAAGAGGGTGTTTTCACCATATGACTCCAAGACAGCCTTAAAGAACTTCTGCTTTTACAGAGGACTAATACAGAATCCAGAAAGGTGCTTTAAAAGAGACAGTGAACATGGTTAGTGTAATTCTTATGCCATATTACCTTTGAGGTAAGAAATCAATTATTTCACTTATTCTCCTATTGCTCCACAAGCCAGTAGCCTTGGCAGTAAATTGAATATTATGCTGCCACAGACAACATCTTCCTTGTCAAGCATGTATCTCCATTCTTCTCTTGATGATGATTGGTGACTTTAAAACTCACATGACTTCTAGGTAATAAATGAAAACTGTCGTTGTTCTGTTGGGAATTTTTTTTTCCCCCCTTCCCTCTGCTTTGACCTCATTGTGATGTATTGTCTACTTTAGGGTATTTGGAAAAGTAAGGGAAATACGAGGCAAGGATTTTTAAAGAAAAAACAGACCTCTAATTAGTTGCCTCCAAGAGACCCTGCAATGACCCTGTTTAGACAGACATTAATAGATGGGCCTAACTTCAGACATCATCCATGTCTGAAGTGCTGTTCTGGTCAAAACAGATCCAACAGAGGCTCTTTGCTGCTGCCCAAGTGCTGCCAATCTCATTTCATCTTCACGTCCCTGGCGTGCCCATTGTGTGACAATTGTGTGAATGCACACCCAGCCTGGGCATTGAACAGTCTGAAAACCAACCTTACTGAAGGCTCAAAGAGACTCAGCTGCTCTCAGTCAGGTTAACCTGGACAAATATTGGGTGTAGATGTGAATTAAATTGCAAGAGTGTGTAACTAAGACCAGAGCTGCCTTCTATCAGCAGCTTGTGGCTAAATTGATCATGTAACCACTCCTGTAACTATCTGCACACCTCTGCAGCTTAAACATTTGATATTCATCCACTCCTTTTGTCAATCAGGAAGAAAATTTCTTTAAGTGGTTTTGTTCAGAGAATACCTTTGACTCAAACTCCTCACTAGACAGTTCCAGAGCTTCAGGAAATTTCAGTTCTTATAACTCAGTATAACTTCAAAACCCAAACTGGATTTCACTGCTCAAATGCTTTTTGAATGGCTCATCTGGGATATAAATCAGAATTAGGTTTCTGGAAGAAAGAAAATATTTTGTGTTTTTAGAGGCCTGTAGTGGAGCTGGAACTGAACCAGCTGACTATGGGGAGGCATGAGCAGAACATGACAGAGGACTGAGAACTTGCTGACAGGGCAGTTTCTTTGAAGAAAGGGGCTGTGAGAGAAAGGGATTGCAGAGCAGGATGAAATGCACCATGTGGAAAAAAGTAATTCTACAGTTTAGCTGTCCTGCAGTTCAGCCATCATCACGTGTAGGTGAAAAACGCAGTCATACCATGCAACATCCTTGGTTAACCTCTTAGATGAAGAAAATAATATACACCAAATGTGATGCCTTCCTCTGCTTCTATGGCTGCATATCAACATACTGGTTAAAGGAGACACAAACTCTGGAAAAATAAGTTAGAGAAGGGTGTTTCCTGATGGATCATAGCTTTCAGCACAAGAGAAAGTGGTTTGGATATGTTTTGCTCTTAGTTCTGTAGTGGCTGCATTTGACTCTCTGTATTCATTCATTATAAAACCAAATTAAATAAAGAAATTAAGGAAATAATAACCCTAATCAAAAATAAGGGAATATGATCCAGATAAAATGTTTCTTTTAACTATGGAATTAAGAATAGGAGTTAAGAGATATAAAAGGGCATGTAAAATGTGTGTAACTTCCATCATTTAGCATCAGGGAGGCCCAAGCCCATGCCCACTGATTACTCTGGTAGGTTATGTTGTTAATTTTCCTTTCTGGGTGAATCAATCCCAAGGCTTTTGAAAGTCTAAGGCAACATTGCCCACACATGAGGAAGCCACTGCAGCAGAAACAGCTCCTTTATATCACTAGGAAGTACTTTGAATTATACCATTAGTAAGCGTTTCTGATCATGTATCTCCTCTGCTGCAGTCCTTATGGTATCAAGCTCTCCTCTGGCTCTCCAAAAATAAATAACAAAGCAGTGCCTATCCCTGCAGTATGGATTTATGCTCCTGCCTTCTGAGGCCACGCAAAAATAAAGCAGGAAAGTAATAATCACATGGAAATTATTCTTGTGCTTTCTCATATACACACACATCTATACATGTATATAACAAAGTCATGCCCTAACCACTCACCTTGTCAGCATACAGGCATTTAAAATATCTCCCACCTGCACTGCACAGAACACATGGCTGAATAACCTGCTCTCACACTGAGCTGGAGGGAGGAATGAGCGATACATTATAAATAAAATAGTCATGGAAGCAGTCGGTTCTTAATTTCTCCCTATTATCTCTAGATCTGCAACCAGACATTCAGAAGATGATGGGCTGTGTGAGAAAACCCTTTCCCCTTCTACTCACTCACCCAGGTGATCCCCATCCACTTGGGTACAAAATAAGTAATGCAAGCAGAATCTGTATTTAAATAATTGTGGCATAATAGAGGGAGTAAAGGCTAAGAAGGAGCTGTTCTGGTCCATTGGGTAAATATTATGATCTTTATAGTGGAAAATAAATGCCCAGCTATCTATGAAACCAATAGAGCTGTTCCTGTCTATCATATTATACCTTGTGTTTTTAAAAAACAATTTTAAATGGAGTTGCTCTGATCTATAGAGCACATTATATGGCTTGGAAAGACTCTGAATACATATTTATCTGGAAAATTTAAACACCTCCCTATAAATAATAAGCATTGGGGGGGTGGAAACCCTGATTAAATATGTCACTGCTTTGTGCATAAAAGCAGATGAAGAGAGAACACCCCTTCCCACAGGAATATAATATTTGATCCTTGTCTCACAAGCTGTGTTGAGTTAGGTCAGTCTTAGCTGAGACACCTCCAAGGAGGAGGTTTGCTATTGCTTTGGCTATTGCAAAGAGTGGTGCTGACAATTCCAGCCCATGCCCTGTCCTCTGGGTCAGCTCTGGGCTCCTTTTCTGGCCTGAGGATGCTGAGGTGCTCTGAGTTGTTATCTCTCAACGATGCCTGAAGGAAGAGCCTCCCCTGCACAACCATTAACAGCTCATTAAAGTTTCCACGGCACGTTTGGCGAGGCCGGGGTGCCAAAGCCAATGTTCTGAAGAAGTTCCAGCAGAAATAATTAAATTCCCGCTCAGGTCTCCCTGCGGTTCCAATCGGATGCGGGATGGTTCCTCTCGCTCTCCCCTGGTGTGCAGTGTCACTGTGCACCATTAGACAGCTGTTGTGCTTGAACCTGGGGATAGCTCCCTATCAGCGCTGGGCGACGCTAATTCCGTGCAACACTCATCCAACTCACGAGGCTTTTGGTGATTTAATTAAGGTGCTGGTTAGAAACAGTCCCGAGAAAGTATAGGATATTTTTTTCCCCACCCTTTTAGTCATATATAGACATATTTAACAAATAAACCACGTGGTTATCACAACAAAAAGAAGGAACACAGCGTGGATTAATGGCTGCAGCACCACTCGTCCCTATCTCCGGGCTAAGATGGATTTGACCAAGTCCTGCCCCTCAGTCCTTCACACTAATAATGCACATTTTCAAGAATATTTTTCTTTGTTTCCACAGTGCTGTAACTCCAGGTCAAAATGTCAGAAGAGCTTGATATTCTTGCCTTTTTTCAGGTTTTGTCATACCGTTATTTAAACATAGGTTTTTGGATTTAATTTGACAATCTTTATGTAGTTGCTGGCATGGTAATTGAGTCTACTTGTCTTTTTCAGGACACCAGAAGATCTAACTAAGTCAGAATGTCTCAGTTACAGTCCAGATTTCTATTTATTACCTACCTCACCGAGAAAGACAAGGTGAGTTATCATTCAGTACAGAAAACCTGAAAGGCATTTATATGCTTGAAGTACTGTATAACCACCCTGTACAGAAGCACAGGGCTTAAGTAAATGTGTTACAGCACAGACAAACCCCTTTGAAACAATACTATTGAGCCCAAATTGTCTCTGTAACCGAGGGTACAAATCTAGAAAGCTTACCTCCCAGCCAGGACCAAAACAAACCCTTCAGAGATTACTGATACAATGGCTTATGACAGATGGCTCCTCAGCCTTACAACTCACATGCTGTACAATAAATTCAACATAAAGTGACAGTCTCAGCAAGGGTTCAAGGCTGTAAGTAAAAAAAAAAAAAAATAATAAAAGAAACCTAATTTTTACTGAAGTTAGAACTCCAATGAACGAGAAAATGTGAACATATACCTATGTATATATCAAAGCTGCAATCTCTGTAAATGCCATCACCATTACTTATGGCTGGGATGATGCTAATATTTGAAAATATTTCAATAGGAAGCCAATTTCCAACCTGCAAATTGTAATCACAAAGACAATATTTCAAGGCTTTTCTTAGGAAATGGTGTTAGCGGACCAAGAAAAAAGAAACCTGCCTGTTCCACTTATCTCTGCAGCAGATTGGATAAGCCATCCTAAACCTACATCAGTTTGGGTGGGAAGTGCCCTCATATTCTTTTTCATCCTGGGCTACTGCTTGTCTTTTTAAATTAGGCACATTTAGTGGGAAAAATATACATAGAACTTGCTATCATGGGTAAAAATTTACCACTTTCAGGTTTAATCCAATTGTGTAGCCTTTAGCTAATAGCAGAACACGTGGAAGAGACATCTTACTTGTGTTCAGATTAATACTGAAATTATGAGGGGAAAAAACCATAAAGATTTACCTACAATAATACTTTTAATGAAGCATTTTATTATGTCTGCATGCCAGACCTATGATTTTTCCTGTTGTAATGTATTTAAAACAAAACTATAAGCAAAGAATTTAAGTTAAGATTTTTCTTTTTCTCTCACTTTCTCTTACTTTTGCCATTTGACTGAAAAACCCTTACACAGATGTATGTGAATTATAAGTCGTATTTAAATTTTGTTCTTCACATCAGAAAAACTTTAGGTAGATAAGCTATGAAGAGTATTTTTTAGGTTATTAAAAAATGTTGACATTTACTGGCCATGTGCCTGGCATGTAGTTGCAAAGGTCATCAATGAGTAAACAGACATTAATGGTTAGCTGGATAACTGGTACATAAACAGGTCATATTAATAATTAACAGAGGGGAAAACTGGCAGTTTATAGCAAGCTTAGGAAAATAGCTAATAGAAATAACTTTGGAAAGGGCAAGGACCAATACTTTAAAAGCATCAGAAAATCAAACCTAGAGGAGCCTGAATTTTAAGACATTCATTTCTCATTTTTTCTACTCACTCTCATCCTATGAACAAATTATTTTTTAATTCATGGAGAGCAAATTTATTTGAATCACTGAAAAAAGTACTGCACAGCTGTTCATTCTGCAATTGATTCTCAGACTGATGCTGTCCTGTTGACAACCCTGCAGCATATAAAATATTTAAAGAATTTGTTTCATCCCCAAACATATCACTAGTCCCTTTGTTCATTACAAGGAAGATATTAAAATATATGAATATTTGGATTTAACATTCCATCAGCAATTACTAGATCTGCTTATTAATTCTAAGTATATTCTAACTATAATTTAAATTGCCAATGGTAAAAATTTTACCAACACCTTTTTTTTTTTCCTGAAATATAAATTCTCATCATGTCTCCCCCACATCCTAAAAACTGAGATTTTTTTTTTTTTTTTCTCGATTCCTCCTGGCTTGTCAGCTCAGCAGCAGTTTTCTTAAGCAGTTCTATCTGTTTATTCCAGATGAATATCAAACTCACCATGAAGCCAGGCCTCACTCTTAGGCCCACAGTTAGTCCTACTTGACTTGGCTCTAAATAGGCCCCTGGTTGTTCAGGTTGGGAAATAAAGGCAGCCAGATCTGAGACTGATTACATCTCTTCTGCCATGTTTTCATCATGCAGACTTCAGTGGACATGAATCTTTTGGCTTATACCTTTAATTGTTATTTTAACTAGAAATTTTACTGAATGTATAGGACTTTATGGTAGAAGGGAGTGGATCCAGTTTTTCAGCAGTAATCATCATGGTTCTCACACTATGGGAAAATGTAGGAAAATATTTCCATGGATAAATATTGCAGTTTTCTAGTGTTTAAAAAAATGCTGGGTTTGAATATTAAGCAAAGTAGTGCTATATGAGCATTGAGTAAAACTAATCATCTCAAATGTACAGTCAAAAAACAGAGGGCATTTTAGGCATGCCAAAAGAAAAGTAGATGGAATATTTTGTGGTGCAGCTGAAAGGGTTTCTGGCTATGGACTTGGAGAGCCCAGAGTCTGCTGTGGGCCTGCAGATGTAACACACAATTCATTCTATGCTGGCAGGAGAAGAGCCTTTCTTCCTGACTTCTACCAAAATGCAATTTATTAAAGTTTCCTTAATGATATACAGAAGTCACCCTCTCTGTGTGCCAGCATGTGCTGAAGTATTTATGTTTTTATAGAGTTTATAGGCATTCTCAGGCTAAAAATGCAGCTCAGACTAATAGCTTGGCTGAAGAACTGAGAATTAATATTTCTATCTGCTCATGAACATGTGACCATTTTATTTTGTGGTTCCTGTTCCCTGTTTGTCAAAGGAAATCTAACTCATGATTCTGAAAACTAGTTAATGATAGAGAGATATTTATTAATAGGTATTTTTCCCACCAATTAAAATAAAATATTTTAAATATTTTAAAAATATTTCTTGTTACAGCAGAATAAGAGTAAGGCAGCTGTAGATGTTTTTACCTTTGATGTTTTTAACATTCCTCAGCTTTTGGCATCCTGTTTGGTGTCAGAGAAACACAGACTGGTTTGGTTTGGAAGGGAGCACAGAGATTATCTGATTCCAGCCCTCTGCCATGGGCAGGGACACCAGGTTACTCAGAGCCCCATCCCACCTGGCCAGGAACATTTCCAGGTATTCTCTGGGCAGACTGTGCCAGTGTCTCATTACTTTCATAGGGAAGAATTTTTTTTCCTAATATCCAGTCTAAGCCAGCCCTCTTTGAGATTAAAGCCTTTGTCCTATCACTGCATGCCCTTGTATGACCTGAGCTTCAATCCCACCTAAAACACTTCCCTCCCTCCCTTCATCCATCCCATGAACTGGTTCTGTCCAAAGACCTGTACAGGCCTAGAGCTACTAAAGACCTCTAGACTCAATCTAGACTGGAAAGTACATCTTCACACAGCAGAAATCTCTGTGAAGGATGAAGTTCTGTCCGTTTGGTGTGGGTGTCTGATTTGTTAACTGCTTGTTTCTGTGGCTCAGGAGACTCACGATTGCAAAAGGTCAATAGTTATTGATGTTCATTGCAACAAAATTCTGTTTAATGTTTTTAGAAATAGACCATCTTCTATTTGTTCAAATTCCTTATTCAATACAGCTAAGGTTCTCTAAGACATTTAATGGCTACACTTTAGTATACAACCTACTCTTATTCTTGGACAGCTATATTTCTTCACCTTCTTCTTCCTCTACATGTATCTTTTTCTCATAAGTTTACCTTAAAAAATATATCTATAATTAACTCTGCCATTTTTTAATCCTTTTCATGCCACTAAAATACATACTGGTGAACTTTACAGTCTGAGTCAAAAGGGCATTTTGGCAAAAGAGTATTGCAGCTGCATTGCCTGAAACATCTTAGAAGACAGTGTCCACAGGGAGCAGGGGAACTGAGTAAAATACTGACAGATGTAAATAACAGTGTCACATTTTGGGATGAAAACCAGTTCATGGCTGTGCTCATTAAGAGCAATTTCTGTGTCTCTGCAAGGCTCCACGGAAATGGGGAGGTCTGCACCCCAGGCAGCAGATACTGCAGCGGCAGAGAGAGGAGACTCGCTCTGCACCACTAATCCAGTTAATCCCGGTGATTTCAGGGTTCCCTCTGCAGCAATGCAGGGAGAAATGTGCCTGGGAGGAAGGGATGAGCCTGAAAGAGATAGTGGGCAAGGGCAAAGCAGCAGATTCCCCCTGGTCCTCCCGTTTTTCCAAGGGAGAGAGGGTGAGCCGGGGTCTCTCTGGCCATCGGGCCACAGTGGCTAACACGAAGTGACACTTTTGTCCCCTGAAAATTTTACTGCTCAGCAGAAGTAACAAAGCTGTGTATGGTGGACACAATTTTCCCCATGGCCCTAATTTGGCAGCCCTTCCTGTGCTAAGCCCAGTGAGGAGATCCAAAAGAGAGGCTGTCTGGAGGACGGGAGGAAGGAGCACACGCGCAGGTTCTGCTCCACCATCCAAACTCCATCAGCAGGGCAGGAAAATGCAGTGTGAGCTGGAAATGGCTGTAGAAAAATGTGTCTGGGATTTCAAGGGAAAAAAATAAAAATAAAAATAAACACACTGAGAAAATAAACTGAGAAATAAAACTCTGAAAACCATTAAAAAACGTGGTTTAAACTTAAGAATAAATGCAATGGCATAGTCACATTCTTTAAAAGCTTTGTTCTGCTCAGAGCAGCTTTGTTATTAGTGATTCTTAATGCATGAGATAGTGGTTTGGAATAAATCTTTAAGTAATTCAAAACAAGGACTCTTCAGTAAATAGTTGAAATTAAAGGGGGAGTTAGAGTCATCTGGTTTCCATTAGGATGATAAAATAGTTCACTTGAAACCTTTTACAAGATGCTTTGTTACTGGGAGGTGTCTGTGCATCTCACTCCATCACTAGCCATTTGACACAACATAAAAGGCTTCAAAAGCCATGCTAGGCTTCTTAATCAAAAACTAATTGTAATAGATATTGGGGAGTGTTAACACTGTGACCGCTAGGTTGTATCTTCAGTATATAAGCAGGAGTGAACATTAAACACAACCCTGAGTTGATAGGGCTTATCAGAATTT